TAGCTGACTGTTCTGTATCAATGGTCTTGCAATTATCCACTTAATTAATGATTCTGATAGACCACTGTATGCACGTGTGGCACAGAGTGCTCAACTTTAATTCCCAGAGCCATACAATAATCATTAAATACCTTCGAGGTAAATTCTCCAGCATTATCCATTCTAATGGATTTAATTCTCGTCTGGAAAATTAGCTCGTAATTGAATTATTTGGGACATTAATCGTGCAAAAGCATGGTTTCTAGTAGAGAGAAGGCATACGTGGCACCACTTCATGAGTAACAAGCACCACTGGCTTGCAACTCGATTATCTCACGATGCAATCGCACTAGAATCGCTCTCTCACATAATCGAATGATCACTATCAAGCATATGTGAGATGGAGGGCTCCCAAGCACTCACAAGCATGGACACAAAGTCCTCCAAGGTGCTCAACACCAGCCATGGCCGAGACACCCTTCTATTTATAGCCCCATGGGCTAAACTAGCCGTTACTTCTTTACTGGGCGTTTTTCGGGTTGACCGGACGCGCCGGTCATATCGACCGGACGCAGGACCTCAGCGTCCGCTCAATGGATGCTCGCCACGTGTCGCCACCGTTCAACCTCAGTCGCTTGATCTCAACGGTCAAGTGATGACCGGACGCAACTGCTCAAAGTGACCGGACGTAGCAACCCTAGCGTCCGGTCGTTTCCAGTAAGGTACCAGTCGCGACCGGACGCGTCCGGTGGGTCACGATCGGACGCAACATCAGCGTCCGGTCCTTCTCCACCTTCTCTGCGTCGCCTACGTCACCGTACGTCAGCCTGACCGGACGCACCCTGCCAGCGTCCGGTCACTTTCAGCGCCAGCGTCCGGTCGAAGACCGACGCCTGCACGCTCTCTGCTGCCACTGATCGGACGCAGGACCCCAGTGTCCGGTCACCACGCGGCCAGCGTCTGGTCCACTCTATGAGACCCTGTCTTTTCTGTATAGGACGCCGGTGGCACCATCGGACTGTCTACATTCTACGGGCGGACACTCCACCGGTGGAGTTCCTAACCCTTCTCGCATACGTTTCATCGCCGAGTTGATCCACATAAACTCCAACTTCATCTCCTTTATAAATGTGCCAACACCACCAAGTGTACACCATCAAGTGTATGTGTGTTAGCATTTTCACAATCATTTTCCAAAGGATTAGCCACTCAACTTGCCACGCCACTCAGTCCTAGCGACGATGCAAAGTTAGATCACTCGAGTGGCACTAGATGACCGATATGCAAACAAGTTTGCTCCTCTTGATAGTACGGCCATCTATCTTAAACCCGGTCATTAACTTCTCTACACACCTATGACCGGTGAAATGAAATGCCCTAAGTTATACATTTGCCTTGCGCATTCCATTCCATCTCCTCCAATATCGATGCAATACATGCACCAACATGATCAACAATGATATGATCCACTTCATATCATCACGTGATCATATTGGTTCATTGATCTTGACTTCACTTGCTTTTCACCATTGCCTTCGTCTATCAGCGCTAAGTCTTGCTCAAGCTTCACCGCCATGCGGTCAATCGCTCCAAAGCCTCCGACTTGCCCTTCACGCTTGCAACCGGTCCATCAAGCCAAGTCTTGTCTTGATCTTCTCCACCTTGATCACATGACTCAATGTCATGTCTCATTTGCAATGAACTCCTTCATCATCATATGTGTGAGCTTTGCAACATCTCCAAGCCATTTTCACCTTCATGGCATATGTTGCTCACACACATGTACCTATGGACTAATCACCTGTGTATCTTACATAAACATAATTAGTCCACCTAGGTTGTCACTCAATTACCAAAACCACACAAAGACCTTTCAGTTACCCCTGCTATAGTCACCCACTATAATTACACTTGTCGGCTATCATCCTACATCGTATCACTTGGATGACAAAATCCAACATATCGATATGCCATTGTCACTACCTTTGTCATCATCATTGACGATGCCCCATATCGATGTAGCCACTACCATGTAGGGCTAGTCGCCGTAGTTCGCTGTAAGCCATGTATACATCATGACTTCAAGCCTGGCCGCTTATGCACTTATTGACATTGTCCCACACCAAACTAGCTCCTAATAAGCATAACTAGTCGCATGCCCTGCTGCAAGTCACTAAGGGTGTGTTTGGTTCCCTAGCCTAGGCCCTAGCCAGGCTTCCATAATACAACTTGGGCTTGGTTGGTTCCCTGTTTAGCCTGATAGCTAGGCTTTCACAAGCCCATTTCATACAGATTTGGGGTGCGTTTGGTTACCTAGCTTCCTTCTAGCCTAGCTACAAAATAAGCCAAGCTAGCCTAAGACTGCCTCTAGCAGGCCAAAATAGACTTGTTTGGTTGCCTACACTATCTAAGCCTGGCTACCAACTAGTTTGTTTGGTTGCCTCGTTTGGCTTGGATAGAGTCATCTCTTCTTTGGGCAGGTAACTTCACCACCTTTGAAGCAATTCGTTGAACACCTTTAAGGTGGGCAGACAGAGCGGAGGAGAGCAGAGGCCATGGCCAATCGAACAACCCGATGCCTCCCGAGAGGAAGGGTGGCGCAGTTCATAGAATCATCAATGCATACGAGCAATAATGCAGTTCCACATTTATTCATTATTGTTTATAGAATGCTGACGAAGCTGATAGTCCAACAACATCCCCTATTCGCTTGATGACCGTGATAGTAGCAGTAGCAGAGCATCCTCGTCCTCCTGCCGACAGGACGCTAGCAGCATGGAGCCTAGGACTTGCAGCAGCCTGATGGTGGAGGAGCAGCAGAAGGGAGTGGTAGTGCCGTCGGAGCTCGTCCCGCTCGGCGGCCATGGAGGACACGAGCGTCGCGCGGCCTCGAACTCCATGCGTCGGAGCTCCGCCTGGTGCGTGGCCCGCGACGCATGGAGCTCAGCCAACGCGTGGACCTACGCTCGCGGGAGCTCTGGTGCATTGGTCAAGTCCAATTGCTGGTACATGCAGGTGCGTGTAGAGCCACCGCTGCTCGAGTCTCTGGATCCCGTCGCGCTCCTCGAGTCTGAATCCCGCTGGTGCCATGGGACCTCAACGCAGGGGACATGGTCGGAGTACTTGACGACAACGGCTGCGGCAGGGGGCAGGGGCTGGAAGAAGCGAGGGAGGTGACGCGATTCACATTCGAGGCTACCGACGGGCTAGCCAAGCCTGGCCAGCGAAAAATGGATCCCTAACTCATTTTTCTGGAGCTAGGCTAGGGCATCCAATGTGGCTTAGTTGGGCCTTGCTTTGAGCTTTTTACAGACAACCAAACAGCTGGGAGTTGGCTACTTGGAGCCTGGTTGGGGGTTAGCCACCCAACCAAACAGGCCCTTGGTGGCTTGCTGGAACCGCCCGAATCGGGCGTTCTCGTGGAGCCTGGCCTAGCCAGGGGTGAGTGGTCGTTCCCGTCACCTTCGGTCTTCTTCCCTCCCTCCAGCTTTGGTGCTCCTCCTCCTCCAGAAGATCCGCCCGACGAGCCCTCCTCCTCCCCTCCTCCTCCTCATCCACCCCATCGGCCGTCGAACCTCTCCTCCTCCTCCTCCTCCAGATCTGCCCGAACGAGCCCTGCTACTGCTCCTCCACTCCATCCCACCGGTGATGGCGCTACATGCACGCACCAACTTTACATCAACGTCGACCCGTCCGTCGCCGCCTCCCCGTCGTTCCTCTCCGCGGTGCTCATCGAGAAGCTTGCATCGGTTCAATCTTGCAAGTCTTGCAAATCGGTGTCCGTGCAGTCAGCGCCAGGCCGCAGGGTCGAAGTCACAATGACGATGACGCCTACGCCTAGCCACATGCACGCTCTATGTAGTAGAGCTCGCAGCTCAGGTGCGTAGTAGCCAAGGTGGTGTCACCGTGCTCGTTCCTTGGCGGAGGTGGTGTCGCGCTGCTACTGTTTCGTGTGGAGGAGTCCCGTGCTGGCTGGTGGAGGAGGATGAATCACCGCCTGTTGCCTTGCTCACCGAGGTGCCTTTGACCTAAGTCCTCAGAGAGGTAAACTTACCAATTGGTAGAAGTGATGATGCTATGCAAACTAAACCAAGAAACCAAACACACTGATAACTAGCTAGGCTTAGGTACTATAGGCAACCAAACATATGCTGCTTGCATTGGCTAAAGCTAGATAGAACTAGCATGTCTTAGTTTTGCTAGCCAGGCTTGACGAAAAAGTGAACCAAACACATCCTAAGTTGATATGTGAGCAACTGTCTCTAACCGTTACCATAATGTCCACATCCTCTATGATTCAATTGTATACATCGCATCATTCAACAACCTCTGCACCTCATCGAGAATAGAAAAAAAAGTCACGTTGGATCTTCAGTTCCCAATAAAAAGCTGACTCGTACCGAAACAGCCAGCCACAATATAGGAGTATGGGACCACCTGCCGCCACATATGTAGGCAACCACTTCTACATGCCATCATCTCTCGTGGCGGCTTCCATACGTGGACACCATCACCCAATAGTCGCCATACTACAGCTGACTGTAACAAGTTTTTTTTGACACCACACAACGGTTATTACCACATCTTTTAGAGCAGCAGACGTAGTCACCCAGCTTTTTAACAACCGTTCATTCATAGATCTGCAGCGCGGGACGGGGTGCATCTGCTGTGGGTAGTTAGCAAATACTACCCGTCAGGGATCTATTACACCCTGTTTGGATGTAGATATTGAAGCCTGGAATTCGGAATTGGCATTGGGTGTCTTCAATACCTGCTGTTTAGATGTTCTTGGTATTGGAATTGGAAATCTCCTCCAATACCAAGAGGTATTGGCCCTTCAGCCGCACCCCATCCCTCGATTCAGACCCCTCCCCCTCCGTATTCATCGGCATTGGCACTCGTCTCGTCGCTTCGTCCGTCGTCCCCAAGCCCAGCGCATCCCCACTGCCGCACCCGTCCTCCACTTCTCCTCAGTCCCACACGGAGGCGCCCCCACCCTCCTCTGTTCCACGCGTGGCACCATGGTGGAGGCCGGCGGCATTGAGGTGGAGCAGGCCGACGGTGACGCGGACTGGAGCAGAGCAGTCGAGGCGGATCGACCAGCGCGGAGGTGGAGCAGCCCGACGTCAAGGCCAATCCGACGGCACGTCACGAGCAGGCCCCGTCCCTTCCCTTTTTCCCCATCCCCATCAAGATCCATCACCGCCGCTCGCGGGCACCTCCGGTCGAGGAGGAGGCATAAGCGCGGGTCGTCCGGTCGCAGCCGCGTCACAGAGGTCCGCCATCATCGGTGCTGGGAAAGGCCTCCGGCGAGGACGGGGATGGTCACGGGCTCCACGCTAGCTGCCAGGCATCTCCTTTCTCTCCATCGCCGGCGAGCCATGCAGCTCCCAGTGCCCATTTGGCGAGGCGCGGGCGGCGTGGGGGAGCTCCGCCCGGGGCCGACGAGTCGTGGGTGGCGCAAGAAGGCGCCGCCGCCAGCATGGTCCGGTGTGGAGAGGAGGAGAAGATGGTCGATTCTCAAATGCCATGGTATGAACATCCAAACACGAATCGGTATTCACTGGCTCCTTACGATTCCATCTAGCAATTTCATCTGCATCCAAATAATGGTTTTGGTATTATAACCCAATACCAATACTACTCTGATTTGGTATTAAAGCCAATTCAATGCCAAAGCCTCCAATATCGATATCCAAACGGAGCCTTAATGGATTCTGGATGATGTCCAAGCCGGAATCCGAAATGCCTGTTTTCCACAGGTACGTCAGCGATTTACACACATTCTCACTGTCACGTGGGACCAGCAACGGCGGGAGGCACATGTCAGATACGTAATTCCCACTCCGTCTGGTGCGTCTGAGCTCAGTCACAAGAGAAAACGATGCCCACCGGCGAGCTGACGGCTCCGTCACGCGTCAAACGATAAAAACGCCGCGAGGCCACCACGCGAGAGGAACGCGAAGGAAGTGCGGAAAATAGCTCCCCCCACTCCCCCCCCCCCCCTTTTTTTTTTCCTCCTCTTCTCGTGAGAGAGATTTCGGAAGAGGAAGTGCGTGCCTTCCTCGCAGCTCATTCGCCGAGGTACAAGCCCCTGCCTTTCCTCCCATTTCGTCCCTGTTCGTCGGTAATCGTTTCCAGACCTTGCGTTTCGTGGGGTTTATCGAGGCGAGGGCTTCGATTCGATCCAGGAATCGCCCAAATCCGCTCGTCTTCGACTTCGGTTCATCCCCCCGAAACGAAATTTCTAGGGTTTTAGTGTCAATTTTGCCCCCCCTTCATTACATTTGATCGAAGGTGGTTGGGCCCGTTCTGATGATTCCCTGGGTTCGTTGGATGGCAGGGCACGAGATCCTCCAGAGGTTTGTGCTGTTTGGCGTGAAATTTTTGGGTGCGATTTGCTTTGCTCACATGGGGGATCATGTCGCGGTGGATGTTGGGGAGCTCGTAGCGTCCCGAGTCGGTGAGGCAGCGGGGTTGGTGTCCGGCGGCAAGGAGGAAACGGAGGCGCTGATTGGGATGGTGGAGTGCCGCATTTGCCAGGAGGAGGACCTCGCAAAGAACCTCGAGAGCCCCTGCGCTTGCAGCGGCAGCCTCAAGGTGCGTGCTGCCTTATTTCTCTTCATTCGAACCAGAAACTCTGGGCCCATTCCATGTTGCTTATGCTGTTTGCCTCTGGTTCATTCTATTGTTAATTCATAGATGATAGATGATAAATTCTTAAATCTAAGTATCTAAAATGCAAGCAAAATATCACATTGAGACTTAAACCTGAATCTTTGTTAGGACATAACATAGCTGTTGGATCCCATGCTGGTTGCTAACTAATGTGCTCAGTATAAGTTGTTACTTGAGATGTTCTGGCTTTTCAGATACATCTCCATATGAGGTTCCTCTTCACTTTTTTGTGATACAAAAACCTGTTTGGTGCTGTGGTTCATGATATTTTCATGAAAAAGTAGTTGCACAAAGTGATGCTAGTATGAGTGTATATCCTTTTTTCCCTTGATATTTTCATGAAAAAGTAGTTGCACAAAGTAGTTGCATGCTTGGTTTAATCGTCGATGTTGCTTAAAGAATAGGACATCCTTTTCCCTTGTTGTTAGCTACTTTTCAAGCTTCACAAACAAGTCACAGGGGCTTGGTATCTTGTGTGGGTTGCCTTCAACTGAAGACTTCGGTCATTGTTATTGTTTAAAAGTGGTCTAACTGCTTACCTAAGTTTGTCTTTAACCATCCTATATGTGCAAGCCATTGTGTAAACCCGTTTGCTAATTTTGTTTATACTGCATATGTTTGTACAGTATGCTCACAGGGAATGTGTGCAGCGTTGGTGCAATGAGAAAGGAGATATAACCTGTGAAATCTGCCATGAGGTAAACAATTGTTTCCTTCAGCTACCACTCTAAATGTAGCAAAATGGAAACTAATGCATGTATGGTTTTGTTATTTCTTGTATAAATAAGACATAAATGATTGATTTTGCCCCTTTTGTTTTCTTTGAAAGTTTTTCATTAGGCTAAATAAGTGTCTTGCTTTTTGTATTTTAAACAACGTTTTGGTGCACCTGGTCTTAATGCATGGTATTATTATGTTTCCAGCTATTGTTTAAACATAGTAATTAATTTGTCAAGATGTACTAGGGCCTGCCGTAAGCAAATCACGTCCAAGGATCCTTTCACGAGCAAAAGAGGATCATAAGCTTGCATCATAAGAAAAGCTATTTTTTTAGCTGAAAAGATTTTGTAACATAAATTTAATAATAATTTTCATGAATTTGAATCCTCACCGATTACCTTCTCTGCACTATGTTCGCCTTTGCAGAGATGTTTATGCTTCCTTGCTAATTTGACTGCAAACTTTGTTGCTGTAAATAGATTATGAATTTTATTCTCTGTTTATCAGTCGTACAAGCCTGGTTACACTGCCCCAACCCAGGTGCATCATGATGAAACTACCATAGAGATAAGGTGTGTTATCTCTACTCATCAAGCTAACCTTTTTTCCTTCTATCCTGGTGTTTATGCGAATGGTATTTCTGTGTGATTATCAAAAAACTTTGTCTTTGTACACAGTAATTTATAAATTTCTGTTGGTTTCTCATTTTTGCATTTTTTTAATTATCTCTAGTGGTGGAGATTGGACCATATCTGGCAACCGTTTGGATTTACATGATCCTAGAATATTGGCAATGGCTGCTGCTCAAGACCGTTTACTTGAAGATGAGTATGATGAATATACTGCAACAAACAACAATGCTGCTGCGTTTTGCCGCTCTATATTTCTGATTGTGAGTTTTTGTGCTTTCTATTATAGAAATATATGTATTATTTTACCTCTATTATGTCAAGACAATAAATCTGTAGGAAAGTCAAACATCTCTTCTATTCAATGGACCTTGTGCGGTTGTGCCTGACCCCTTACCTTTTCTCCTCAAACAACAACTAAAGCTCTTGCTGCTTATTTAATTCTAAAAGTTGCATCTTAGATATTTTGGTTTCTTTATGTTATTATTGCTCAAATATATTTTTCTTTCTTTTTTAGTGTTCCCAGTTTTACTATGTGACATTAAGTGATATTGAAGTGTCGCTATCTCTGTTCAGTTGATGGCCCTTCTGCTCCTGAGGCATACACTGACCATTACTAACAGTGATGATGAAGATGATGCATCTGCTATTTTCTCGGTTAGTGATTAAAAGGCTGTATATCTCCTATGGATTTTTTTTTCCGATGTAGAGTTCACTGACTCTGTTGATCTTTGACAGCTATTTCTTTTGAGAGCAGCTGGATTTTTGCTGCCATGCTATATTATGGCTTGGGCTATTAGTATCATGCAGCGTCAAAGACAAAGACAGGTTGGTGTCTTGGTGCTAATGGAGATGTTTCTCTTTCATGTTGTTGGGTTCATAAACTCAGGGTCCTCAATGGATCCGTTTCTCAGTAAAAACTCGGCCCAGCAGACGGCGTAGCGATAACGCGCGCCTCCCGGCCCGGCCCAGATACCTAATGATAGGCCGGGAGAACGATCCGGTCCCCGACCAGAAGGTCTGGCCAAGGAGGGGACATAGTCCGACTCTGACCTCCTTTTTCGACCGGGGATACGCCGAACCTCTACTTGCAGCTCTTCCCCGACCGACACGGTCGGGGCCGACTGGAAACAACCGATCGGGAACGCCCGCTCGGTAAGGGCCGGGGGATCGGACGGAGCAGATAAGGTAAGGCGCCCAAGTCAAACTGCAATACTGAGGACCGTACCCTGCCATACCCTACGCACCTGTAGGACGGTGCCACCAGGCCATGCCAGATAAGCACTATGCAACCTTCCAGGCGTGTCAGAACCCAAACAGTATTGTATGCGCTGATATTTGCCATACCAGGCGAACACGGTAGAGCCTGTCACATGCATCTGGACATAAACAATATTGTGGGCGCCGACAACCGTCTCGTACCCGATAGCGTGGGCAACAAGACTAGGTAGCACACATATACATTCTCTCTCTTTCTCTGACTTGTAAGAGCCCATCCCCTTCGACTATAAAAGGAGATGAGCTCTCTGGCTATTCGGACACTAGCTCTCTGGCTCTCCTCAAAAAGAGAAGCTCGATGATTCGAGCACTCGAGGATCAGAGAACTCGAACAGTACAATAGCTCTAGAACTCTAAAGCTACACAGAGCATATGCTCCAATACTTAGCGCACGTTAGAACCCCTGTCACTCGGCTCTCAGGTTCAGAGTCCGACCGGGCCTTTAACACGCCTTCTTATACCTACTCGTTTGTAATCCCACAGCAAACTTCGAGCACCTGGGCTCAGGAATAAAGTCTCCGACCGACTGAAACTGGACGTAGGGCACGTTGCCTAGGCCACATCCGATTACAACACACGGTAAAACTACAAATATTTACTTGTTGGTCACTTTTCGCACCGACAGTTGGCGTCGTCCATGGGGAGGACGCCGTGCGTTCACGCTTTTGGTCATTGGATGGCCCATCTTTCCACCATCTTCGGCATGGCGGGTTCAAGCTATACGATTCACTTTGGCTCGCTACAGTTTTCCACGCTCCCACCTGTTGGGACGTGGGTTCCTCCCGTCTTCGAGCCGCTCCAGACCTTCCTCTTCGGAAGTCTAGACTTCGTCGCCGACCAGCTCGGTGTACTCCGCCTTCGCGAGGAGGCACTTGTCCTAACGCCCACTAGAGGAGGAGCGCCCTCCGTCGGCCCTGAGCCACTCGACGACCTCAACGTCGAGACACCCGCACTTCGCCTCGAGCCCATGCTGGGCTCAAACTCCACGGCCGGCAAGTCGAAGGAAAGGAAGGGCAAGGAGGCGGCGGCCAAGAAAGGAGGCACGGCGGGCAAGGATGACGACGGCTTCCCCGACCATGAGGAATGCCTCATGATCTTTGGGGGATCCGACGCCATCCACTCCAAGCGCTAGCACAGGTACGTTACAGAGAGGCATGTGCCGCCGAGACGGCCGTCCCCTCTTTCCTTAGCTGGTCAGACTCTCCGATCACTTTTGATCAGAGAGACCATCCTTCCCACGTCGTCCGACCGGGTCGCTACCCGCTCGTCGTCGATTCCATCGTTCGCAAGAAGCGCCTCACCAAGGTGCTGATAGACGGAGGCAGCGGCCTTAACATTCTCTATGTCGACACCCTCGATGCCATGCGCATCCTTCGGTCGGAGCTCCGCCCAGTGAGCTCTCCATGGCGTGATTCTAGGGACGCAGGCGTACCCGCTCGGGCAGATCGACCTGCCCGTCACGTTTGGCGACCGAGCCAACTTTCACCCGGAGGTCCTCACCTTCAAGGTGGTGGACTTTCTAGGGTCCTACCACGTCATCTTGGGGCAGCCATGCTACGCCAAGTTCATGGCGATCCCCAACTACACCTACCTCAAGTTGAAGATGTCGGGACCGAACGGCGTCATCACCTGGGTAGCACCTTTTCGCACGCCTACACGTGCGACCGTGAGCATTATGAGCTCGCACGGTCATCATCAACTCAGCCGAGCTCCTGGAGCTCGGGAATTCGTCGACTCCAGCAGTCCCAGACTGCAACGAGCCGACTTCCTCGAGTACCTTCCACCCGACCAAGGAAACCAAGGCGGTGGGGATCGACCCCGTCGACCCGACTAAGACGGTGCGGATCGGGACTAAGCTCCCGGCCAAATAGAAAAGCGAGCTCACCGACTTTCTACGCGTCTATCGCGATGTCTTCGCATGGAAACCTTCTGACATGCCAGGCACACTAAGGAAGGTCGCCGAGCATGCATTACGCCTCGTCCCGGGCTCGAAGCCCACCAAGCAACGCTTGCGTCGCTTTGACGATGAGAGACGCAGGGCCATAGACGAGATCGCCAAACTCCTAGCAGTCGGGTTTATCAAAGAGGTATACCACTTCGACTGGCTGGCTAATCTTATTCTTGTGAAAAAGAAGACAGGGAAATGGAGAATGTGTGTTTATTATACTGGCCTCAACAAGGCGTGTCCAAAGGACCATTTTTCTTTGCCACGCATAGACCAGATAGTCGACTCCATCTCAGGATGCGAAATCCTGTTCTTTCTGGATACCTACTCAGGCTACCACCAGATCGCGATGAAAGTCCGACCAGCTCGCGACTTCATTCATCACCCTGTATGGTTCGTACTGCTACATAACCATGTCTTTCGGTCTAATGAACGCCGACGCCACCTATCAACGGTGCATGCAGCGATGCTTCGCCGATCAAATCGACCCACCCGACCAGCCTGACCAAGTCGAGCGGCCAAAACCAACAATCGCCGTCTATGTAGATGACGTAGTGGTGAAAATGGCTCAAGCTAGTGACCTGATCGCAAATTTGGTTGCAACATTCGCAAACCTCCGAAGGTTCAATATTAAATTGAATCCCGAAAATTGTGTTTTTAGAGTTTCGAAGGGGAAGCTCCTTGGATACATCGTGTCTGAGCGCAGCATCGAAGCCAACCCCGAAAAAATCACGGTCATCTCCAACATGGGCCCTATACGCAACGTTAAGGGCGTACAGAGGCTCACCGGTTGTTTGGTCGCCCTAAGCCGGTTCATCTCCCGACTAGGGGAACGAGGGATGCCTTTATAAACTTCTCAAGAGGACAGATGCATTCGTTTGGTCAGAGGAGGCACAACAGGCTTTGGAAAGCCTCAAAGCATCACTGACGTCGGCCCCAGTCTTCGTCGCTCCCAAATGGGAAGAACCCCTCCTCTACATCGCGGTAAACAACCACGTTGTGAGTGCCGCCCTCGTCATCGAAAGGGAGGAGCCGGGACGCCCCCTGAAGGTTCAACGGCGGTGTACTTCGTCGGTGAGGTACTCACCGATGCCAAGGCTCGATACCCCAGGTGTAGAAGCTTCTATACGCCGCCCTGATGGCGACCCGGAAGCTCCTGCACTACTTCATCGACCACGAGGTCATGGTCGTCACCTCGTACCCACTGGGAGACATCATCCGCAACCATGATGCTGCGGGACGAATCTCCAAGTAGGCTCTCGAGCTCATGGGTCACGACATCAGATATATCCCTCGCGCAGCTATCAAGTCTCAGACTCTCGCTGACTTCATCGCCGAATGGACAGAAGTCCAGCTCCTGACTCCGGACGTCACCCACGAGTACTAGACAATGTACTTCGATGGGTCGGTTATGGCGCTCGGATCGGGGGCTGGAGTGGTTCTGATCTCCCCAGATGGGAGCTGGCTCCGCTACGTGACCCGTCTCCATTTTTCGGCCTCAAACAACACCGCGGAGTACGAGGCCCTCATCAACGGACTACGCATCGTCGTCGAGCTCGGCGCTACGCAGCTGTACATCCGCGGCGACTCAGAGTTGGTCGTCGACCAAGTCATGAAGGAGTCCTGCAAGAGCCCTCTCATGGCAGCATACTGCCAGGAGGTGCGCAAGTTCGAGGACAAGTTCCAAGGGATCAAACTGCATAATGTCCCCTGAGAGGACAACGATGTCGCCGATTTCCTCGCAAAATTGGCTGTCAGGCGGGTTCCGTTTCTAGATGGGGTCTTCATCAACTATCTCCATGAGCCGTTTGCCCGTATTATGGAGGATCCGATCCGGACACACTTCGACACCAATCTGGCACTCGGGGGCTCCGACCTCTCGACGTGCCCTGACTCCTACCAAGTGCTCGGGGGCTCCGACCTTGGCGCCTCCATGACGACGTCGCCCACCGACATCGCCGTGGTGGCGCACTCGATCATGCTGACTGGAGAGCACCACTACTCGCCTACCTCCTCGAGGAGGTTCTCCCACCGGAAAGGACTGAAGCGCGACGAATCACTCAACGCGTCAAGACGTTCGTCGCCATCGAGGACGAACTTTACAAGCGAAGTCCGTCGGGAGTACTCATGAAGTGCATCCCGACCGACCAAGGGAAACAACTCCTCGAGGTCCATGCCGGAATCTGCGGACATCACGCGGTCCCGAGGTCGCTGGTCGGGAAAGACTTTCGCCAAGGTTTTTATTGGCCCACTACGCTGCGAGATGCAGAGGAGATTGTCCGCAGGTGTGAAGGATGCCAGTTCTATGCTCGGCAAACTCATCTGCCGGCACAAGAGCTTCAGACCATCCCCATCACTTGGCCATTCGCGGTCTGAGGCCTCAGCATGGTCGGACCCCTCAAAAAGGCCCTGGGCGGCTCCACTCACCTGCTCGTAGCGGTGGACA